TTAGTTTGTAAAGTGTCCTGAGATGACTTTTGTTGTGATTTGGTACTATACAAATAAAATTTGATTTGATTTGATTATTGAGGGTTCACACTACCACAGAGTTGCTGTATTGATAAAATAATGATGACTGAGATGTGGAAGAAACGCAGCTGCAGAGGAAAGTGTAGGTTAGTTTGTGTGCCTCATTGTAAACACAGCACAACACCGAGGCTGTGGGAATGTCTAATGAAGCAAGTGGTGGCACAGACACAAACCTCCTGATTTAAAATGCCACTTCATTACCATAATCTTATTTAACGGGAGTAAACACGGGAACGCAAGAGACAGATGAGGGAGAAAACAAATAGGGATGAGGAAAAAAGGTGGGAGTGTGCGTGCGTGTGCGACAACATTCAGCCGGGGTCACAACCTTGATTTTGTTACGTCGTTAGCGGAAGGCTGACTGACGGTTACTTGCCACAGAAAATACTCGTTTCTGATTGACTGTAACACCCCCTCAAGCATAGTTCTGGTCAACTGTTTAATTAACATTCTAAATCAGTTTGTGAGGTATGGGCACATCTATGTATATAGGCTAATAGACTGCAGGTAGCCATGGCAACAGCATCCACCCATTCATCCATCTTCGTCCGCTTTATCCGAGACTGGGTCGTGGGGGCAGTAGTCCGAGCAGAGCCTCCCAGACTTCCCTCTTCCCACACACCTCCTCTAGCTCCTCAGGAGGAACCCCAAGGTGTTCCCAGGCCAGCCGGGAGACAGTCTCTCCAACGTGTCCTGGGTCTGCCCCGAGGTGCAGGTGTCCGAGTCACCTCAACTGGTTCCGCTCAGCATGGAGGAGCAGCGGCTCTACTCTGAGCTCCTCACGGGTGACTGAGCTCCGTACCCTATCCCTAAGGGTGCACCCAGCCACTCTACGGAGGAAACTCATTTCTGCCGCTTGTATCCGCGATCTCATTCTTTCGGTCATGATCCAAAGTTCATGGCCATAGGTGAGGGTAGGAACGTAGATCGACTGGTAAATTGAGAGCTTCGCCTTATGCCTCAGCTCCTTCTTCACCACAACGGACAACAGCATATAGTCTTGATTCAAGAAACTAACTGGAACTAATTAAGAATTATTTTAATTGAGCAATTAGTTATTCAGTTGTCCTTTTCTCTTTTAATATATACAGTGCTACCTGTTTATTGTTTGTTTTGTTTCATCACACATAAAACAGTGAATGTAGCCTACCTACAGTGCCTATAAAAGGTGTTCACCCCCTTGGATGTTTCACCCTTTTATTGATTGTATAAATCAGTCATGGTCAATATCATTCGGCTTTTTTGACAAAACTAATTACAAAATCCCCTTTAATGTCAAAGTGAAAACAGGTTTCTACAAAGTAATGTCAATTAAGTAAAAATATGTAATGTGAAATAAGTGATTGCATAAATATTCACTTCCTTCAAGTCAGTATTTAGTAGATGCACCTTTGGCTGCAGTTTTTTTTCATGCCCTAATAACAATAAAAACACTAAAGAATTTCATAATTCATGAATCAGAGGTTAATGTCAAAGTGAAAACAAGTTTCTACAAAATAATGTCAATTTAATAAAAAATATGTAATGGGAAGTAAGTGATTGCATAAATATTCAAACCCTTTAAAAAAGCCTGACCTAAGACTAGTGAGCGAGGTCACCAAGACACCTATGACTACTCTGGAGGAGTTACATGCTTCAGCAGCTGCGATGGGAGAGACTCTGCATACAACAACTATTGCCCAGGTTCTTCACCAGTCAAAGCTTTATGGGAGAGCAGCAAACAGAAAGCCACTGTTGAAGAAAGCTCATTAAATCTCGACTAGAGTTCACCAAAAGACATGTGAGAGACTCTGTGATCAAGTGGAAGAAAGTTCTTTGGTCTGATGAGACCAAAATGGTGCTTTCTGGCCATTAGACAAGGCGCCATGTTTGGCGGACACCAAACATAGCATCATAAAGGTAGAGGGTAAAATGAATGCGGCAAAATATTGGAAAATCCTGGAGGACAATCTTATTCAGTCTGCAAGAGAAGTATGGCTTGGGAGAAGATTTATTTTCCAGCAAGACAATGACCCGAAGCATACAGCAAAAGCTACACAGAAATGGTTTAAAGACAACAAGGTGAGTGTTCTGGAGCGGCCGAGTCAAAGCCCAGACCTCAGTCCAATAGAGGATTTGTGGCTGGACTGGAAAACCTGGCAGAGCTTGAGCAGTTTTGCAAAGAAGAATGGAGTAAAACTGCAGTGTCCAGATGTGTAAGCATGTTTGAGGCCTATCCACACAGACTCGGTGCTGTGACTGCAGCCAAAGGTGCATCTACTAAATACTGACTTGAAGGAAGTGAATATTTATGCAATCACTTATTTCACATTACATATTTTTATTTAATTGACATTACTTTGTAGAAACCTGTTTCACTTTGACATTAAAGAGGTTTTTTTTTTCATCAAAAAAGCCAAATGATATTGACCATGACTGATTTATGAAATCATAAAAGGGTAAAACAAGGGGGTGAATACTTTTTATAGGTGCTGTATGTACAGTTTTGAGGTAGGTCTACTTGAGTATTTTTATCTTCTACTTTATACTATGATTTAAATAGGCCTACATTTTAGAGGCAGTTGGTTTTTACTTCAGTGAAGTCAGGCAATCTGGACATTATGTCTGGGCGCTGTAAATACTAGAAACCAATCACCACCACGTGTTATTAAATTGTTGCTGTTATTATGACAGCCATTTTGATTGGTATGACATAAACCAGGATGGGTTCTGGTCCCAGAAGTGCAAGTGAAGTCCTATGGCATCTCTTTTTGGTAATTAGGATACTGCAGTTAAAATAACAAAATAGTTGTAGAATTTTGAATTTTATGAATTGTTTGGCTTATAATCAAAATATTTAAATAATACAAAAGAGTTTTGAGTGACTGTGCCATGCATCAGAGAAATTGAGACAATTCTACTAAAACATTTTTAAGTGAAACCAGCATGTTTCTAGGCTGCCAGTGCCTTAAATCCATGAGTTGTTGTCTACTGTGTGCCATCATGTCATAGACAGACATTTTTAGTATTTTGGTCACTTAAAAATATTAAAGATGATACATTAAATACATGTCAGCCACGATAGAACACACTAAAGAAAACCCTGAAAAAAATCCATCAAAAAAACTAAGTTCACCAGAAAACAACCGAGCATCCCCACAGATCATGCAAAATATTTCCTACGCGACCCTACAGCCACAAAGGTCACGTGGAGAATGTTCCCCAAGAGCTGTGGTGAGGACACAGGCCTACCATTTTCAGTTAATGAATGAACAAGTTAATGAATTAATGACCAAACTAATACACACATTTAACCAAGAAACAAACATGAAGTACAATAGTTCTTCCATTAAGCTGAGTTGATTGGTTTTAAAAATCCCTGACTGCCCCTGAACATGTCATCGGAGTGAGGTGGGTGTTGATGTGTGTGAAGGTCCAAAGTTTCTAAAGTACTGGCCACATAGTTTCTTTATATAGCAGAGATCGATAACACGTAAAATAACACTTTGGTCTTTAAGAATTTAGATTGTTTCCCCCTTTGGTAATCTACCAACAAGTTCCCCACATTACCTAACTTTACATTTTTTAGATACAGCAGCCTATAGCGTTACCTTTGATAACTTTTCAGAGTCGGATCAATAAAACAAAATGTAATCGATCTATGGTGGGAAATTCACAATATGCAACAGTAATGGAAACAATAAGAATGTTATATAACATTAGCTCCACTTTTACCACATTAAGTGTGATGTGTAGTTCACACAATAATGCATCAGTAGGCTCATTAATGCAATAATTCAGCATAATGAGTAGCCTACTTTTACTTTTCATAGCCTGCTTTAAGTATATTATGATGCTTGTAGGCCCACTTTTCCATAAATAACATTTAGTGATTTAACAATGTGCTGTTGCTAATTTTACTACTTAGGCATCAGTGTACCTTCATGGTCCCAGTGCTTTGCCTTTTCGTTGGTTCTGAGGGAAATGAAAGCCACAACGACAATCAGATACATCATAATTTAGGCCTACTGGGATTATTCTAAACCAAAACTCTACTTTTAAACGAATTCTACACAGACCTGAGGCCGCAGAAGAAACTTTCTCTAGTTATCTCACACAAATAGTTTAATGCTGCGATGGTATTTCTGGCTTCGTCGGGTGAAAAACTCTCAAAGATAGATAGATAGTTATCGCTGATTAGCTCTGAATGAACAATTCGACTTGTCATACACTACTTCGGGACAATGCTGCTGTCACTTTCCCTTAGTGTGAGAACAAATCACCGGTTTGGGCCCTTCTGTCGGCCACAGGCACCAGCAGGCCGCACTGCGATCACTCACTGCGAACTAATTGAAACGTTAAACCGTTAAAAATCATTTACACGTTTCATTAATTAACGTTAACAATGCATTTTAACGGCAGTGAGTCCAAACGGAACAATACAGTATTAACTCCCAAACCCCAACCAGGAAACATTTAGCGCTGCGTTTTAAACTTCGATCCGTTATTATGGTTCATTTTCAGGGGCGACGTGATTTTCTGGTCGGCTACAGCAAAGGCTAATTTAACGACAAAATAAAAAAAACATGGACTGAATTTTAATCAAAGTAATGGCGCAGATGTTTTATAGGTTAAAAAAACTAGATATTTATTTACTATTTATCAGTTTCGGCACATAAATGGCCTATAATTGATCCAAATGGTTAAAATGTGTTATTATTTGTTTATTGTTTTACAGACATATGTTTTAAAAACATATTTCTGTTCACTTCTAAAATTAGCAGAATTGTGTATTCGACGCGATATTATAATAAGTGTTATTATATTTGAATCCCTGCAGGCGCGGCCCAACATTTTCCCAAGAAGGGGCCATATGTAGGAGGGAGTGTGTCTGATTTCACTTAATAGTGATGCTGTGTTGGTAATTACATCAGGTTGGAGGACCGGCCGTCACCCCCCCCGTCCTCCCTCCTACCCACACAGAGCTGATTGGTCGCCGGGATGCAGCCGGGACAAAAACGGCGTTGTCCTGGTGACCCGGCCTCAGTGCGCCACAGCCCGCTATAAAACCGTGCGCTCTCACGCAGCCGTGCCAAATGGGCTGTCAGATGCGATTTGGAGTAACAAGTGGATCTGACGTTTAGGTTTTCACCTCATCGCGCTTGGAAACACTCGGTAAGTGTTCTAGACATTTTGGTTGTAGAACATTTCACCGGCCTTATAAGGACAAGGGGCAAGTCAGCTGAGCGCGGAAATGACAGGCTGTGTGCACGCACGGATAACTTAGGCTGTGGTTTATCAGATGACGGGAAAAGAAAAAGATAAAGCCACGTATTTATTTCTTTATGTATTTATTTATTTGGCCAGAGACACGTGTAAGTAATAGGTATATGCCTCTGCAGTATTCAGGATACCCTACATTATCCATCAGTCCATTATCAGCCGCTTGTCCGGACTCTGGTCTGATCAGTGTAGCTAAAGCCCAGACTTGTGAGCCTCAGTAGTTCGGCCTAACTATTAATTGTGTGCTGAATTAAATGTGCTTTTCCCCTAAGAAAGGGTTGATATTATCCAGCCTATGATGGCGGTGGTATGAAGTGGTGTGGGGACTCATTAAATTAAGTTAATTAACTAAGTTTTCTCTCCTCAGAATCCCTGCTAGACCTGGATCATGGACTCGGATACGAGCCGCGTGTCGAGCAGACCATCTTCTCCAGAGGTGGAAGACATTTTCTTGTCCACCCTGAAAAAGTCTGTGCACGGCTTCTCCGGCGCCGTGTCCTCCACACAGAGCGACTCTCCATCAGAGATCCCCAGCCTGCGCGGCCTCTCCGCCGCTGACGAGGACGCCCTCGCCCTCCGGGTGGCGTCCAAGAAAGACCGTAAACTCCTGTCGGAGAGCGAACTGCAGTCGATCCGCCTCAAGATCAACAGTCGCGAGAGGAAAAGGATGCACGACCTCAACGTGGCCATGGACGGACTCCGGGAGGTCATGCCCTACGCGCACGGACCGTCGGTGCGCAAACTCTCCAAAATCGCCACCCTGCTGCTGGCTAGAAACTACATCCTGATGCTGAGCAACTCGCTGGAGGAGATGAAGCGGCTGGTCAGCGAAATCTACGGCAGCAGCGGACACCACGGCGGCTTTCACCCGTCAGCTTGTGGGACAATGACACACGCGGGGCCCGTGCCAGGACATCCGGGGGATTCCCACACCTCACACCCGGCAGTGCACCACCCGCTTACACCCCCGCACCGCCTCCTTGTCCGCTCCCGGTATCTCCGCCGTCACCTCGGTCAGACCGCATCACGGACTCCTCAAAGCGCCCGCCGCCGGTGCAGGGCCGCTGGGCAGTAGTTTCCAGCACTGGGGCGTTGGCACCGGGATGCCTTGTCCATGCAGCATGTGCCAAGTCCCGCCTCCGCATGTGTCCAGCATGAGCACCGTCACCTTGCCCAGGCTGGCCAGCGACTCCAAGTGACTGCAGACTCGATGGAGACGAACTTTTGAGACTGTTACAGACTCTGTCTCACATGACGCTTTCTTTTAATTTAATCTCTGTTGCTGAATCCGTTACGTCCACGGAGCCAGTAAAGACTAGTGCATTGATTTTCCTTAATGGGACTTTGGGGTTTTGCATCTAACTCGTTTAATGGTAATTAACCTGACTTGTAACACGTGTCTCTTGGCGGAGCTCCTAAAGCACAACGGAACTTCACTTTATTATGGAAATCTTTGATGAGCCGGGCATCTGTGTGTCTCTGCAGTTATTTAAAGATAAAGTTGAATCACTGGTGATTTGCTTTTCTGTTCTGTGGTCCTACAGGAGGCAAAGTCCCAACGTGGATCAAACCATAGGGTGTAAATATGTAGAAGGATGATTGTGTTTAATAGTCGGAGATATTCTATATTAGAGGCTTGTTGATGTGGGAACATCCCCACTCCCTCTGCACCTTTTTGTTCTGTTTTATTTGATGCTTCTCTCCCGTTTCCTCCCCACTACACTCTCATCCACTGCCCAGCGCAAACATTAACCACTTCTTTATTTTTTTAATTAAAAATGAAAATGATATTTATTTACTTATTTTGGACAGGAACTTCAGATCAGTCTCTGAGTATGTTGGGCTTTGAAATGTAAAATAAAGGTGATGACTTGAAAAGGTAAAAAGTCTTTGGTGGTATTTTTAATGCTTTTTAAAATCTTATACCTTACACAATATAGAAGATTGAAAGCAGCACTAATCATATCAGCAGGCTTTATCACTGAATGCTAACATTATTACACAGAAGATGTAGATTTTATAGATATCAAACATTCTCAACTGTAATTTTATTCAGGAAAATTCCAATTGAGCTTCTCATTTGAACAAATATATGTAAAAATATAAATAAATACATATAAATAGTATTTGCTGATAATAAATAACTAGTGTTCATCATTAAGCTTTTCTAATATTTATCAAAACAAAACTTAAAATACTTCATTACATGATTCTTTGCTCTGTTTTAGTTTTACTGATGTTTTTGAGGTATAATAATATATATATATAAATTGGCCAGACTGCAGCGTAGAGTCAGAATTCAGAAATTTAAAATTGTAATGCAAACATAAAAGTCACGATGACATTTTTTAATAAAACAGTTTACTTAAATTGGTAAATTGTGGTTTTTCTAAAATGAACCTTAGTGTATTACAATTAGTTTTATGTCCTGATGAAACTTGCACAGAGCTCATTTCTTCTGCTGGATGATATTAAAATCACAGCAGTGTCAGTGTCTGTGAACCTCCACAGTTGCACACAAGGTGACTTCAGCTATGGGTTCAGTTCAAACACAAGTGCAGTGGTTTCACCAACCCATGATGATTTTTGCAGGCACCTGTAAGTGCAGCTGCACCTTATTCTGCAGAATGTTCTAATGAGCTACAAACTGACATGTTACAGCTATTCAAGAATTTTCTGCTTTGCATAACAGAAGGGCGGCTAAGAAAAACTCAATTTGGAATCGTCATCTTTTGCAAAATATGTGTGTAAACATTCGCTGAAGCTGCGCACAAAAGGCTCTGCTGGCAGAAAAAAGCCAGTGATGAATAAAAGGCCGGTACACTTTAGGAAAAGGTAGCAGCTGCACAGCAGATTGTGCTCGCTGTTACAATGTTTTCCAAAGGCTTTTGAAGCTGGAGCAATACAAACTAAATCTCTGAATATTCATGCATGCATTTATTTATTTGTCTCATTCCTGGAATTGAATTATTCAAGGTCCTTCAGCCTTTTGTAGGACATTTCAGAGAGGAAAAGGTCATTTGGTTTGCATTCAGAAATGCAATCTTTTTACAATTGGCCAGAAAGACAACCACTTAAAATGTGTCAGCATATGGAAATAAAAATTCAATCTTAGAATAATAGATGATAAACTTGTGGATTTCCTTTGTTCTTCAGTTCCTACTTTACTGAATACACTTCAACAGCACATTAAAAAGTATCTGAGCCCTATTGTGACACAGAAAACAGATCACCAACCACAAAAGGATTTTCAACTATTATTCTTTGGCCTGTTTGTTCTCAGTTTATATTTCTAGTAGAACAAACAGGTGTTTTTTGTTTGACTGTGCTTCATCGTTGGTATGCAGTGGCTTTTTTACACTGTAGCTTCCATGTTCTTTCCAAACAAACAAGCCCATTTCATCAGTCCAAAATTTCCTAGAAACATTGTGGAGTGTCAGGCCCAAACAAACAAGCCCATTTCATCCAAAAGGCTTTTTCCTAGAAACATTGTGGAGTGTCAGGATGCTCTTGGCAAACCTCAGGCATGCAGTGATGTTTCTTTTGGAGAGCAACAGCTTCATGTCCCATGCAGCCATGCACCATGGTTTGCATATGGACTCATGATCAAAGGTGTTAATTATCTCCACTGAGTCCTTTAAACATTGAGCTGCTACTCTGGGCTTCATTCTGCCACGTGCTTCAGGTGTCCTCTTCCTGTAGCTGGTGACTACTAGTAGTAGCCACAGTACTAAACTGCCAACCTTTATATTATTGACAGGTGTGTACCTAAACTATACGAGATTACCTTGCCACCCACTCCAGCTTAATGCAAATCAACCAATCTTGATCATGTCTTCTGAGATATGGTTTTTGTGAGGAATAGTTTACATCAGCAGAATAGCAAACTGAAAATGTTTGAGGTTTTTTATAAGTCAAAGTGTCTTTAACACACGTCTCCAATAAGATTTTATTGATGAGACTCCAGGTTTGCTAACTCCTGAGTGCAGTTACTGTAGTTTTTGTTGTTGTCATTGGCCTCAGGGTTCACACACCTTTTCTAACTACACTGAGTGTTAAGTGATGTATTCAATACGGTTAAGAAGAATATACATTCATTTCTGTGCTTTAGTTCAAATAGGTTGCATTTGTCCATTTTTGTAACTTGGATGACCATATTTTAAGACAGATTTCTTTACAAATGCAGATAATTCCAAATGGTTCACTTACTTTTTTTTCCCAGCTCTATAAATGTCTTTTTTAGCAGGATTGGCAAATAACAAAGACAGTGTCCAGTCTGGATATATTGTATCAGTGGCTGCAAAAGCTGTAGCATAATTTACATCCATCCATTTTCTATACCGCTTAGTCCCAAACAGGGTCATGGAGCCAATCCCAGTCAGCTGCAGGCGAGAGGTGGGGTACACCCTGGACAGGTCACCAGTCCATTGCAGGGCTAACACACAGACAAACAACCACTCACACACACAATCACTTCTACAGGCAATTTCAGAGATGCCAATCAACCTATGCTGCATGTCTTTGGACTGTGGGAGGAAGCTGGAATACCTGGAGAGAACCCACGCAAGCACGGGGAGAACATGCAAACTCCGCACAGAAAGGCCCCGGGTCGGACCGGAAACCTCCTCGCTGGGAGGGAACAGCGCTAACCACCGTGCCACCGTGCTGCCAGCATAGTTTCCATACATATATATTGATAGTTCATTCAAATAATGAAGAAGAAAATGAAGAAACTTAGTCTTTTATTGTGGGTTTATTTAATTATCTGTATGTATTTAAGATGTTTAGTTTTTTCTCATTGTGAACTTTGTGGAATGGGTTGAAACAATTACATCTGGCAGCGAGAGAGTTCTTCCACTATGCATCCAGGTAAACATAGTGCTAAAGTTAAAAGAGGAACCGACCGAGAAGCATCTTCTTTAGCTCTGCCTAAACCGTCTGGCCAATAGCAGCTTGGCTTCTCATCCCTGTGACTGGATCTGAATAAACAGCTCCTTAGCCACTGTTGGTGGCAGGATGACTTATCTATTGATGCTGAGAGTCTGAGGTTAGTTTTGTGGCCATTTAAATATTTATAACGTTGAACAGAACAGGAGCATCAGTCTTACACTGTTGTAAATTGACTTAAACCTTCCTGAAAACACTGCACAGATGTACAGGCTTTCAGCTCTGCGCATCATGTTGTGTTAGCTGAAAGGATTAAAGACCGGTGGGATGCATCAAAGGTAGCAGAATAACAGAACGAGAAACAGAGTCTATGATGAAGCAAAGAAAGAATAAGCAGGGGAAGATAAACAAACAGAGAAGCTGTCAGAGACAAAGGGAGGATTTAACACTTACACAGGAATAGACGGAGCTCTAAGATAAATATGAGCCCTCAGAGGTCATTCTTTCCCATGGGACTGATATCTATTCCGCACAGCCTCATCTGCCAGCATTAAACACTTTGATGGACTCTAACGCGCACAAAGAACCACTGCCTGTATGGAATAGGTAAGCAACACATGGTTAAGAACTGAGCTATTTTTCCTGTTCCCCAGAAAAATTTGATGCCGCCTTTATTATGAAAGTGAGACCATGGGCGTGAATGCCTGGCTGGTGTTGAGCAACAGTTGCTGTATACAAAGTGTGTGTTATGTTAAACGAGTGCCGTTAGTTAGCATCACCTTGGTTCCATCTACAAAAAGACAAAGGGATTCCATAGACTTCTGGATTACTGTGAAAAATGAGCCATGGGTTTGTGGTTTGGAGCAACATGTTTTGTTCAGGAAGATAATCTTCACAAGTGAACACAGCTTTTATGATTTGTGAAGCTGAAATACAATCGCCAGAAGTAAAAAGCTACTGTTAGGCTATAAATGAACTACACCATAGTCCCATGACTTCAATGTCACCACCACAACTTCCAACTTGTAATTCCACTTAGTGCACTTGCCTCTTCTCTTAGTGTGACTTCATCTAGCTAGTGACCACGGCTGTGTCAGTTAGAATAGTTTGCAAGTGCAGGAGTATAAACACAACGAGGCTGCAAAGGTGGACTAGTGAGTAGATGAGTCTCTGTGTTCAGCGTGATGATGTTTAATGCCCTCGACAGCCTCTGTAACCTCATTTAGCAACTTGTTAGCAACCACTATTTTTAGGACATGTAATAGCATAAACACTTACAACTGGGGAATTTACTGACATTTTATGTCAACAAAATGTGAAGATGTACTGGCCTTGTATTAACCACCGAGTTTATTTCAGGCGTCTATCAAAACCCCATTCAGAAAACCAACAGGCTTCAGGTTGAAGGAACTGGAAGTGCAAAAATGCTGACTCAGTTCCAGGTTTTATGACTCACTACTAGTTTTTGACTTGCAAATAAGACTCATAGCAACATCCAAGTTACAACTGGCACACTTGAGGCATGTCTGAAAGGCTGAGCACTGGGGCTGCCTCCCAAGTGCCTTGTCCATGTGATCTTCAGAACTAGGTTCCTTGTTGAATGAGTTGGCTCATCTATAGCAGCAGCCAGAAATTAGCCTGTTTGACTATTCAGATCATTGACAAAGTAAAAGCCAGAATAAATAAGTGGCGTCCTCCAGGATGACGGTGCCTCCATTCACTGAATGGTTTGAGTATGAAAATGATGTGAATCATATGCTGTGGCCTTCACATTTACCAGATCTCAACCCAGTTGAACATCTATGGGAGATGCATCAAAACACCACATGAGGGAATATCTGTTGGAACAACGGGGTTCATCCCTCCTCTAGAGTCCAGAGACTTGCTAATGGTGCACTGAAGCTGTTCTGGTGGCACATGGTGATCCAGGACCTTACCAACATAAGAGGTTCTTCCTTTCATTTTTCACCTGTCTGTACAGGTCAG